AAGGGATGTTGTCCCCCACCCAATAAATGGTAGGACTATCTACTAGTTATTATGTCGAATAGTGGAGGAGTACTATTGCTTGTAGAGTTCAGATTTGGAGGATGGAACAAGTTCTTTCATTGTGTGTTCCAAGGAGAAAGGGTCAGATAAATGATTAGTACTTTGAGTTTCTTTGTAATAAAAAGAATTCTTTTTTTTTTTTGTGTGTGTGTGTGTGTGTGCTTTAGGTGAAAGTTTACAGCTCAAGTTAGTTTCTCATACAAAAATTTATACACACATTGTTACGTGACCCTAGTTGCTATCTCTATAATGTGACTGCACATTCCTCCTTTCCACCCCGGATTTCCTGTGGCCATTCAATCAGCTCCTATCCCTTTCTGTCTTCTCATCTTGTCTCCGGACAGGAGCTGCCCATTCAGTCTCCTGTATCTACTTGAACTAAGAAGCATGCTCTTCACGAGTATCATTTTATGTCTTATAGTCCAGTATATTCTTTGTCTGAAGAGTTGGCTTCGGGAATGGTTTTAGTTCTGGGTTAACAGAGAGTCCAGAGGCCATGTCCTCCGGGGTCCCTCCAGTCTCAGACCATTAAGTCTGATCTTTTTACTAGAATTTGAGTTCTGCACCCTACCTTTCTCCTGTGCTGTCAGGGACTCTCTGTTGTGTTCCCTGTCGTGGCAGTCATTGGTGGTAACCAGGCACCATCTAGTTCTTCTGGTCTCAGGCTGACGAAGTCTTTGGCTTATGTGGCCCCTTTTGTCTCTTGGACTAATATTTTCCTTGTGTCTTTGGTGTTCTTCATTCTTCTTTGCTCCAAGTGGGTTGGGACCAATTGATGCATCTTAGATGGCCACTCGCTAGCTTTAATAAAAATAATTCTTGAATAAAATAGTTGTTTTGTAATCTACCATTTTCATTTATCATTTCATGATTGTCTATATTAAGAAAACAATATCTACTTCATGGAGAAAATTTAATTTTACAGCTGGAACATAACTGATTCAGTAAAGAGTCTTTTCACTGCAAGCAACAGAAAACCCATGTCAAACTGACTTAAATGAAAAAGGGAATTTTTTGGCTGACATCTGAGAAGATCTTGTTTAAGGTGTGGCTAGATTCAGGGCGCAAATAATGTTAGTAGGTTTCTGCTTCTCTTCCTCTCTCTCTGCTCTGCCTTCTGCGGCTTGGTGCCATTCTCATGCTGCATGCAGGGGCAGCAGTTTCAAAGTATATGCATCCAGGTTCTCACCTGGCACAGGAGAGCAAGGCTCTGTTCCAGCACTCATAGTGAAATTCTCATTGCATTGCAATCTCTGAGGCTTTCACTGTGCCTTATGCCTGTGTCACATGATACACCCCTAAAATCCAAGTATTTCACCAGGATAACATAATCTGAGACGAGGGAGAGAGGGAGAGGTGGGTCCCCAGAGGGAAATAGGAAGATGGTTACCAGAAGGAGCATAAATGGATGTTAAAAAACCAAAAAATAAACGCATTGTCATAGAGTCAATTCTGACTCATAGTGACCCTATAGGACAGAGTAGAACTGCCCCATAGGGTTTCCAAGGAGCAGCTGATGGATTCGAACTGCCAGACTTTTGGTTAGTAGCCTGAACTCTTAACCACTGTGACACTAGGGCTCCAAATGGATGTTAGGGGACTAAAATAACAGGTCCATAGTTTATATACTTGTACTTTTAGTACTTGTTTCCATGCACTTAAGGTTTCTATCTACATCTAAGGCCCATCCAGTCTGAATTTGACTGATGAAACTGACTGCCTCCTTCTATCCTCTGCATGGACTAGGAGGTTGAAGTGACCTCTAAGGTCCCTTCCATAGTTAATGCCCTCAGCTGCTGACCAAAAGGTTGGAGGCTCAAGCCCATCCAGAGATGCCTTGGAAGAAAGGCCTGGTGATCTACTTCCAAAAATTCAGCCACTGAAAATCTTATGGCATATAGTTCTACTCTTACACACATGGGGGGCACTATGAGTCAGAATTGATTTGACAACAACTGGTTTTTAACCTTGTGCAAGTGATTAAATCTCTATAGGCCTCAGCTGCCTCAATCAGTACACTGAGGATAATAATAGTACTGCACTCATTGGGTTGCTGTGGGCTAGGCACGTTGTTGTTGTTAGGTGCCATCAAGTTGGTTCTGACTCTTAGAGACCCTATGTATAACAGAATGAAACATTGCCCGGTCCTGTGCCATCCTCTCAATCTTTGCTGTGTTGGAGCCCATTGTTGCAGTCACAGTGTCAATCTATCTTGTCCAGGGTCTTCCTCTTTTTGTTGATCCCCTACTTTACCAAGTATGATGTCCTTCTCCAGGGACTGATCTCTTCAGGTAACATGTCCAAAGTACATGAGATGAAGTCTTGCCATCGTCGTTTCTAAGGAGCATTCTGGCTGCACTTCTTCTAAGACAGACTTGTTTGTTCTTCTGGCAGTCCATGGTACATTTGATATTCTTCATCTACGCCATAATTCAAAGGTATCAATTCTTCTTCTGTCTTCCTTATTCCTTGTCCAGCTTTCACATGCATAGGAGGTGATTGAAAATACCATGGCTTGGGTCAGGCGCTCCTTAGTCCTGAAGGTGACATCTTTGATTTTCAACACTTTAAAGAGGTCTTTTGCAGCAGATTTGCCCCATGCAATACACTGTTTGATTTCTTCACTGCTGCTTCCATGGGCATTGATTGTGGATCCAAGTAAAATGAAATCCTTGACAATTTCAGTATTCTCCATTTATCCTGATGTTGTTTATTGCTCCAGTTGTGAGGATTTTTGTTTTCTTTATGTTGAGGTGTAATCCTCACATCACATAGCACTCAGTAAATATTAGCGTGACTGTTATACATCTTAAAAGATCTGAGGACCACCAGAACCAGGAGAAGAACCTATCAGTCTGGGTCTTTTCATCCTGTGGTGATAATTCTGCTCAACTTCTCCCCGAGGTCTCTTCAAAGAACTTCTAGAGGGGAGGGGAGCTTTGTTGTCCTGCGACAGGAATTCAGATCAGGCTCAGGGAACACAAAGTATTTCTCTTTCTTTCCTAAAGCCAGATGCTGTAAATTCTGAGCCAAGACCTCCTCTCCTAGGCAACGTGATTATGAAATATCTGTCCCTTCAGGTCCCGCCTATCTGTCTCTCTGGTATCAACGTTTCTGTCTTACAACTTCATCTTTCCTACTCTGTCTTAGGTGAGGCCTGGAACCAGTCATTTTATTTACAGTCTCTCTCCTTTAGACTCCTTAAATTTGGGAACAGGAAACAGAAGTCTGCTGTTTTCCAAGGCCACATGTTTTAGTTCTTTCATCCTTTTTCTGCAGGACCTAGTTTATCTAAATGCTCATTGAATAACAACTGGAACTTTGAGTTCTTGCAAGGCAGCAAAACTTATTTGATACAGGTATATGAGGCCTTCACCAAGGTCAAGAAAGAAACCACGTTTACCTTTTAAAAAATGTGGTCATTCTCATTTAGCACCTACTCTGTGCCAGGTGCTGTTCTAAGCAGCAGGGACACAACACTGAACAAGAAAGCCACTTGCTCTTGAGAAATGCACATTCTAGGGGCACACGTTCATGCAGAAAGTATATATTGAGAACTTACTACTTCAGCTATTGTTCAGGTATTGTTTATCATGAAAACAGACACAATCTCTGCACCAGTGGTTATGTTGTGTGTGTGTGTCTGTGTGCGTGGGGAGGCAGAATACAATACACATAAGTAAATCTTTTAGCATGTTAAAAGGTTATAAGTGTTATGGAAAAAAATAGAGCAGGATAAAGGGGATTAGGAATGATGGTGGTGGGGGTTATGATTTTAAACAGGATGGTCAGGGTAGGTCTTGTTAGAGAAGGTGATACTTGAGCGAAGACTGGAAGGCAAGGTGAGGCTAAAGTGAAGAAGGCAGCCTGATATCTGGGGGAAGAACTTTCCAGGCAGAGGAAAGAGGCAAGTAGAAAGGCCCAGAGGCATGAGTATGTCCAGCTTTTTCAAGGACTAGCAAGGCAGTAGGTTTAACTGGAGCAGAATGAGCTAGGTAAGAGTAGTAGGAAAGGAGGTTTATGGGCAGATCATATAGAGCTTTTGTCTTGTGCAAAAAGAGGAACCATTGGGAAGTGCTGAGCAGAGAAGCAACAGGATCTAAGACTTCAAAGGATCCCTCAGGCTGCAGCGTTTAGGCTAGACTGCAGGTGCAGGGTGACAGCAGGGAGGCCAGTCAGGACCATGTGTCATTACCTGGGTGAGGCAGTAGTGATCAATGCCAGAAGGGTGACCGTTGAAGGTAGTGAGAAGTGGTTGATTAACGGATCTATTTTGAAGACAGGGCCAACAGGATTTTCTGGCAGAGTGGATGTAGGTTGTGAAAGAGAAGAGGCAGGATGACTCCAAGATTTTTGGCCTGAGCATCTGAAAGAATGGAGTTGCCACTGACTGAGATGGCCAGATTGATGGAGCACATTTTTGTTTTGGTTCGTTGGATCAGGAGTTCCGTTTTTACACGTTAAGTTTGAACTACTTATTAGTTATCCAAGCGGAGTAGGGAGTTGGATTTTGAGGCTGGCTGGAGAAAAAAATGTGGGAACAGCTCTAAAGCCCCAGGAAGTCAGACCCTCTTCCAAAGCTCGGCGACCCCAGTGATGATCTTTCAGAACCGGCCATGCCTCCCTCCTCCTCCTTCTCCTAAAGGCCGGAACATCCCCGGAACAGCTCGTCGCGCCTCAGCTTCTTCAGCCAGCAAAGCCCTTTTTTCTCCTCTTTGGGAAATGGAGAGAATATTGAACGGAAATGATGACGCGCCGCTGCATGGTGCCATAACCCCCTGCAGGGAAAGAGGCAATGCCCGCTGGGGGGGAAATGCGACGCCCAAGCTCACTTCCCGCGCCTGCAGTCAGGAACCCGCGCCCCGTGGCAACGAAGGTGGGCGGGGCCTGTGGGTGGGCGGGGCCTCGGCGCGCGCACGCCACAGAGGGGGCGTGGCCAGCGGCGGGCCTGCCTGTGCGCGCGCCTGCCAGCTCACCCTACGTCCCTCCTGCCCTTTACAGGCTGATCAGCTGGTCTGCGCTCTCCTGACGTAGGCCTGGGCACGTCACCGCCGAATGGCAGCCTCCAGAAAGCCACCGCGAGTAAGGTGAGGGCAATCTACCGGGCAGCCGGCGTCTGGGCAGCGCGCGACCCTCCAGGGCTGGGCGCTCGGGATGCACCTGGAGGGCATGGACGATCGCTGCGGAAAGGAGGGCCTGCCCGAGTCCGGCGAGACCCGGCTGGCAGGAGCCCCCCGAGCGGGCACAGGGGAGGGAGCCGAGCAGCCGGCAAATTCCGGTTAGTTTCCGGCGGGGCCGCGGGCATCCCTGATTGTCGCAGCCCGGTGACTAGCCGAGTGTGTCCACGGAGCTGCTGCACGCGGCCCGGGGGCCGTGGCCCTCGTCGTCCGCCGGCCGCCTCAGGAAGGCCACGCTGTTGCAGGAAGTTGGCCCCTTCTGACTGCTCCCGGGGGTCCGAGGAGGTGGGCCAGCCCCACCCCTCTTCCCTGAGAAGCTAACGTTTAAGTTACAACCCTGACAATGCTGACACCTGCAATTCACCTTACTGATCTGTCACCGCCACAAAGATAGGCAGTCACGGACCCTCCCCACCCAAATGGTTTCAGAGGCCGAGTAAGGAAATACTTGGGCATATACTGAAAGGAAATCTCACCAATAGCCTTCCTTAGGCACTCCCTGGCACAGGGAGGTGAGAAGGAAATCCCCTAGCCTCACCTTAAACGTATTTCAGACTATTGCCCGCCTTCTCCGCCCCGCCCCCCCGACACCCCGCAACCAGGATGTAATTCTCAGAGCTGCTAACAAGTGGGAGAGTCAGATATGATCAAACTTCACAAAGTCCAGAAGCCAAACGCCCAGGGTCCATGCCCTCCCCACCCCCCGCATCACCAGTTGAGAACGGAATGAACACGCTTGACAGCATGGCTAGGCTCGTTTGCTAAACACAGACCATGCCCTGTGTTTGTGAGTGGACAGATCCCAAGGAGACCCTGACTTGGACTTGGCCTTGTCACACAATATGTTAGGGATGAGCAGAGAACCAGACTTACCTGTGGAAGTGTGTGGTGAGGTGTGGTGAGGTGTAAGAAGTGGCCAGGTGTTGAGGAAGGAGCTGCCTGTTTGTTAAATGCTGGAAATGGGTTCACACAAATGGATTATGATGCACTAGGTTATAGGTAGCCTTTGAGGATCACCATGGTTTTTAGCAGATTCATAGAATCCCAACATTTTAGAGGCAGAAGGGCCTTTAAGCATCAGCTGGTAGAGCTTCTTTACACTTGAGGCCGTATGTGAGTCTGAGAGAGAGGGGATGGCAATTTCCCCAGGCGCTTCCCCTAATGGCAGAATTTGAGTGCCATCCAATATAAAAGTGAGGACTGTTTCAGTTTAGATGGTGGAAACTGAACTCAAAGTGACTTAGGCAAAAAGGGATTGAGTTAGCTTCTCGTGCAGCTGGGACCAGGAGCACAATAATGGCATCAGACTTGGCTCTCTTGTCTGATTTCTTCCGTGTTGGCTTCATTCTCAAGTAGTCTCCTTATGGCAGGTTTGGACAGTTCTAGGTTGTCAACACCAGCAGAAATAGAACTCCCTTTTCCCAGTGGTTAGGCTAGAAGTCCCAGGTCTGATTCTCGCTGGGCTGACTTGAGTCATGTCCATCTCTGAACCAGTGATGGTAGCCAGAGGGATGGATTGACCAGGTCTGGATCCTAGAGCCTGGTAGGTAAGTAGATGAGACGCACCCCAGCCCATGTGGACTGAAAATGGAGACGAGACATTCTCAAAAGGAAAAGCAAGGTGCTCTTATTTAAAAAAAAAAAAAAAAAAAGAAGGGTGAATACTGGGTAGACAAAGACAACTTTGCTCACTGCCCCTGCTTAGGGCTTGTTCTAGTCTACCACCACTCACCTCACTAGGCATGATTGAATATATTGATCCTTGTTTTGCCCCATCCTGAGTGTTAGGCATGTACGACTCTCAGCATGGACTTGGGGTGGGTGCCATCCAGAGTACTGCCAGGATTTCTTTTAAAAAGAGAGAGGGAAAAAGTGTAGTTTATAGTAGTTAGTTCTGTCACAACCATCTTGTACAGAGATTGAACAGGAAGTCCCCTGCACCCATTTTCCCCTTACCCATCTTGTAGCTCATTATGACATTGAGAAGGTGTAGGCTGAAGAACTCCTGGAAAAGGGAAGAACACTGTGCTGGAAGTTGGGAGGTCTGGGCTCTGGTTCTAGCCCTGCCACCAAATAGTTCGGAGACTTTCAGCAGGTTACTTGATCTTTCCGTTCTATTTCTTTGTCTAGAGGAGGGAGTTGAGTTGGATGGTCCCTGGGGTATTTTTCTGGGTCTAATATTCAACAATAGTCCTGCTTCAACTGAGAGCCTGAGACTGTATCTGACCAAGTAAGTAACATGTAGATGGATCTTGGACTCTACAGAGACAAGAGCAGGGCCACCGTGGTGTTCAGCTGCCTGGTGACTCCTTTGATACTGCCAGAAAGGTAAAGGTGGAGGTGATGCTCAGGTAGAGAGCTTGAGTTCACCTGTCAAGAGACTTGGTTTCTGATCTTGAGTTTGCAGCTATTGAGGTGTATGTATGCCCTGTGGTAAGTTATCTTTGTTTTCTCTCCTGTAAAATGGATGGATAGAACTACCTCCCTCCTGCTCTCTAGTGCTGTGTCTGAGCCAGTCACTGGGACTAGTTAACTTAGAATATAAAGAGAAACTGACTTCCTTGGCTCACTATCTTGTACTTACATCTGAAATCAAGAGGGAAATTGGGTGAGAATGTGACTTACATCTCTGTCTAAGAAAAACAGGTGTCTTACTTTTTATAACATATAACAGCTTTATTGAGATCTAATTCACGTACCATATAATTCACCTATTAAAGTATATAATTCAATTGTTTTTAGTATATTCATAAACTTCTGCAGCCATCACTGTGATCAATTTTAGAACATTTTTATCACCCCGTCAAAAAACCCTATACCCATTAGCAGTCACTCCTCATTTTCTCTCAACCCCACCCCAGCTCTAGGCAATTTTCCATCTCTGTGAATTTGCCTATTCTGGACATTTCATATAAGTGGAATCATAAAAAATATATAATTTTTTGTGACTGGCATTTTTCATTTAGCATAGTGTTTCAGGATTCATCTATGTTGTAGCATGTATCAGTACTTCATTTCTTTTTATTGTCAAATAATATTACATTGTATGGATATACTACATTTTTTTATCCACCATCAGTTGATGGACATTTGAATTGTTACAACGTTTTGGATATTATGAGTAATGCTACTACGAACATTTGTGTACAAGTTTTTTTGTGGACATACCTACGAGTGGAATTGTTGGGTCATATGGTAATTTTATGTTTAACCTTTTGAGGAACTGCTAGACTGTTTTACAAAATGGCTACATTGTTTTACATTCCTACCAGCAAGGTATGAGGGTTCTAGTTTCTCTACATCTTTGCCAATACTTGTTATCACCTATCTTTTGGATTATAACTTTCCCACTGAGTTTGAAGTAGTATTTCATTGTGGTTTTGATTTGCATTTCCCTAAGCGCTTGTGGCACAGTGGTTAAGAGTTCCACTGCTAACCAAAAGGTCAACAGTTTGAATCCACCAGCGGCTCCTTGGAAACCCTATGGGGCAGCTCTACTCTGTCCTATAGCATCGCTATGAGTCAGAATTGACTCGATGGCAGTGGGTTTTTTTTTTTTTTGTTTAATTACTGATGATGTTAGCATCTTTTCATGTATATCCTCTTTAGTGAAATGTCTATTCAGATCATTTGCCCATTTGTATATTGCGTTATCTAAGAAATCCTTGCCTAAGCCAATGTCATGAAAATTTATGTCCATGTTTTCTTCTTTTTTATAGTTTAGTTCTTATATTTGTGTCTAAGATCCATTTTGAGTTAATTCTTTTTTTTTATGGTGAGGTAGGGATCCAACTTCATTCTTCTGCCTGTGTATTTCTAGTCATCCCAGCATCACTGGTTGAAGAGGCCTGTCTTTCCTTATTGAATGATCTTGGCACCCTGTTGAAAATCAATTTACTGTAAATCTGATGGTTTGTATCTGCACCCTCAGTTCTATTCCATTGACCTATAAGTCTATCCTTATGGTAGTATCACATAGTCTTAATAACTGTAGCTTTGTAGTAAGTCTGAAATCAAAAGGCGAGTCCTCCAACTGTTCTTTTTCAAGATTGTTATGGCTCTTCTGGGTCCTTTGCATTTCCACATAAATTTTAAGATGAGCTTGGAAATTTCTGCATAGAAGTCAGCTAGAATTTTGATAGGGATTGCACTGAATCTGTAGAACAAGTTGGAGGTTTTTGCCATTTTAACAATATTAAGTATTCCGGTCCATAAACTGAAATGTCTTTCTGTTCATTTAGGTCTTCTTTAATTTCTTTAAACAATATTTTGTACTTATTCCTAAGAATTTTATTATTTCTGATACTATAGTATATGGAATTTTCTTAATTTCATTTTGGATTGTTCATTGCAAGTATATAGAAAGATAACTGATCATGTATCCTGTGTCCTTGCTGAACTTTTGTTTTTTAATTGTGCTTTAGGTGAAGATTTGAAGAGCAAATTAGTTTCTCATTAAACAATTAATACATGTATTGTTTTGTGACATTGGTTGCCAACCCCACGAGGTGTCAACACTCTCTTCTTCTTGACCTTGGGTTCCCCATTTCCATTCATCCAGCTTTCCTGTCCTCTCCTGCCTTCTCATCCTTGCCCCTGGGCTGGTGTGCCCATTTAGTCTTGTATACATGGTTCAGCTACATGTATTGTTTGTTTTATGAGCCTGTCTAATCTTTGGCTGAAGAGTAAACCTCATGAGTGACTTCAGTACTGAGTTAAAAGGGTATCTGGGGGCCATACTCTTGGGCTGTCTCCATCAGACCAGTAAGTCTGGTCTTTTTTGTGAGTTTGAATTTTGTTCTACATTGTTTTCCAGCTCTGCCTGGGACCCTCTATTGTGATCCCTGTCAGGGCAGTCAGTGGTGGTAGCCAGGCACCATCTTGTTGTGCTGGACTCACTCTGGTGGTGG